CAAAAGGCAACTAATTCAGACTTTGCCAAAATCAGCTGTGTTGGGATGAAAGGTGCAGATATTACTGCTTATCTGTAAACCACAACATGATGTGCCAACCATCCTTTTAATGATAAACACAGAAGATGTTATATATGATAATTTGCTAACCTTGAAGACCATTTAAAAAAATAATTGTATACATAAGTACCTTTCAAAGAATATGTTACCTTCCTTTACCATCACAATCATGTACAGTAAAATGATGTTTATAACTAGTCACAATTCACTCACAACGTTTTGTAATAAATTGTGTATAACCTGAAACTGTATCTTCTAGTCAATTCAACTTTAATTAGTAAAATGTTACTTACAACTTAATGTAATAATTATTTTTTGTTGTTGTCTTCACAGTAAAGGTTGGCTGGGTAAACTTTTTTCTATATTTAATAATAACTACTTGCTTACTGATTAACTGTAACTTAACACCAGTAAGGCAGTATTTAGCTAGAACTAACAGGCAAGTGCCCCTTCTTGATATCTTCTTTCTAGCCTCTCAGACCACAATGAATAATGCGAGCAGTAATTTAGCTGAAGTGTTTATTTTATTGGCTTCAGTCAAGGCCACCTGTTGTTATACTTGTATTAACCCTCTTGTCCCAAGAGGGCAGTTTTTCCAGCTTTTGGTTGACTGCTGGACAGTGTCTCTCATCACGGTCTGCCTGAAAGAAACTCAGGGTCTCGCCAGCTCTCAGGTCTTGTGCACTTTCACATCCAAGGAGTCACTTATATCATGTGCCCATCTTTGTATTGGTCTGTCCCTGCTCCTCTTTCTTGGTGCGATGCTTAATGCTGTGATTTTTTCCAATCAGTCATGGAGCGTAACATGGTGGGTATGATTTTATTTACCAAAAAATTTCCTTGGCTGTCCCCTTTAAAAAACACATGCAAGTCCCAGCAACAATATAAGACAGAATAAGTAAATGTAACAATTGGGACAGAGTGGGTTAATCTTGATGGATCTCAAAAAGGTCAGAAAAGTGCATGACGTTGGTTGGAACAAACAAACACTGTGTTACTTGATAGTAAATGAGTCAGTGAATTACTAATATATAAATGTAAATGTCCAAACATGTGTTAATCCAAGCACCTTCAATATATTCACTTTATTAAAAAAATTGGAAATAAATATTAAGCAATACTATTACCCAGATGGCATCTGTCGCTCGACTCTTACAGTCCCAAACAAAAATGCACCACCTGTGACTGGATTTACCCACATGTGCCATTTAACATATTTTTGTACATTTTATATTTAGTCGGAGCTTGCTAAAATACTCAACACATTTGTCTCTCACAAGGGATGTGTATTTGGGCCCTGTGAATGTAAAAGTCAAGGACCCTTTCCCACAACTTCAGGCGTATTGGGCATGCAGTGCTAGACCTGTACCTTATCATCACTCGGTGGGTAATGTTATATGGCTGAGTCGATGTGAACGCTTCGTAATGCCGGGATGCTGGGTTCGACCCCAGCTGCGGGCCATGCGCATTACGTTGGTTTCGACAGTAGTATCAAGAAAGCCTACCGCCCAGAAAGCAATGACAAACTACTGGACGTAAATTTGCCTAGAAAAACCACACAACAGCCAGGGGCTGTTGGGGTTGGTTCTGCAACGTCCTGTAAAGGATACGCAACTAATCTTATCATGCTGGCGGCCTTTACTTAGTACCAGTGTAAGGCTGGGTCACCCTGGAAGCCAATGTCATTTTTTTTTTAAAGAAGAAAGAAAAGTCCAGCTTTATTCAGATTCAAAACCATGACCTGCCCATATGGGTTCCGGGGCCCCATTGTGAGAAAAACAAGAATAGACCCACTGCCTCACCAAGCATGTCATAAGAGTTGACTAACTGGGGGTGTGTTCAAAGTCGGAATGCATCTGCCTGAGAGGCAGGGAACCAGTAGTCTGCATAAAAACAAGACATATCTGTAAACTGGATATGCACACAAAACTCAAGTTGTGAAACACGACCAAAGTCAAGAAGTGGATAAACAACCAGAACTTTCAGCTGGAATATGCAGCTGATGAACACTAACGAGAAGAGGTAATAAATGCAGTTTTATCATTCCAGCATGCGAGGTTGGATTCACCTGCAGGCGACTCGGCAGCAAACCACTCTGCGTTGATTTTGACACCAGTGTGAACAAAGAACCATTCAGAAAGATATGGCAATTACTAAAGGTAAAACTGCCTAGTAAAACAAAAACCAACCAGCAGATGGTGGGGATTGTTTGTGCCATTCCAGGTTTGGCTCACAGGCTGCCAGTGGAAAAGCCCTGCTCTAGGGATTTATATATATATGTGAGTGTGTGTGTATGTATGTGTGTTTATATATATATATTGCCTGTGTGGGTTCCAGGGCCCTATTGTGGGGAAAACAAGAATAGACCCACTGCCTACCAGAAAGCATGTCATAAGAGTCGACTTATTGGGAGCTTTCTTTGAGGTCGGAGTGCATCTGTCTGAGAGACACTCAGGTTCTGGAAAATAGTCCAGAAGTGGACGAACAAAAAGAACTTTCCGCCAGAGTTTACAGCTGGTGAATGCGAAGAAGAAGATAAATATACTTATATAGTGACCATTGCATTTCCTGTGTAAATAAAATTTATACACACACACACACATATATATACATATATATGGCCCATTGCATTTCCAAGGTATACTTTATATATATATATATATATTGCATAAATTTATGCGCAGTAATTTCAATGAATTATTTATATTGATTTCTTTGGAAACATTATCCCGTTCAAAAGTTCTAGGATTTATATTTAACGAAATGTTTACCTTGTGCTTACCGACAATTTGATGGGAGTCGCCGAATGGATCAGGTAGACCAGTTGCCACACTGCACTGTTTTGTAAATTACTAAATTACTGGTAGTGTTATTAAATTATTGATTTTTTTATGTATACAAAGTTTTAAGTTCTATATTATATAAATTGTTATCAAATATTTATATTATTCATAATTACATAATTTTATTTAATTATACTTTCTACTTTCTTAATTATATTAGTAATATGTTATAATAATATTGATTAACTGTAATATTTTAGTATTATAGTTATATACGTGATGCAAGAAAGTCTGTTTATTTAAACAGCCAATATATATTCACAAAGTTATGCATAAAAAACATCTTTACATGTAATCCACTTACATCTCAGTGGGGCCCCATGCTAATGAATGTCAGTAGTTACCAAACAGACTACCCACGGCGATAGCAAGGAACAAGTACGGCAGCCGCCATGATACTTTTCATGACTGGAATGTGACGGTTCCGAATAACTTTTTAAGCCGATGGGCATTCATTTACCCATGTGACGAAAGTTAGATGCGTTCAAAAACAAAAACAAATGCCTAAGGACCAGGTATTTGGAAATTAATCTCTGAACTGGGCAACCGGTGTAAGGTAAGTATGCAGTGGTTACTATCCCACTGTGGAGTTCCCGGAAATGAAACACAAAAACTAGCTAATGAAGAACAACCTGCCTGACTGACTGACTTTCTACCCCACCAGGACATCACACAAGCGATAAACACCCGATGACACGAAGTGCCACCATGCGGATGAGGATCACCGTGGAGAGGTCCCAGAAACCGCGTTCAGACAATTGGCCATATTGATGGCCTGCCTATATTGCGGCCCCTGGCAAAAGCCAGAGTGGGGCTTTAAATAACAAAAAATTACGTTCTAAGAAGGACGAAATGTTTAACTACAACCTGCCTGATGTACCAGTCTCTTATCAACAGAAAATGGGGAATAATTAGTCAATGAGAGAGCCACTAAAACCGGCAAAAGGCGATTACCATATAATGGACAGACCAGCAGAGCAAGGCATTATTCTACACATTAGAACAGGACACAATCGACTTCGCAGCCACATATACACACAGTTTAAGATTGGCGAATCGGCCATGTGCACATGTTGATTTGCACCTGAGACACAGATCACGTCCTCCAAGACTGTCCCAGCAACATATCAAGGAAAGATATAAACCCGAACGAAAAGCAAATCAGCGAGAAGGCAAATGTTTTTGGCCACGAGAAAAACCATAAGCCAAACTTTGCAGGTCGGTGATTGTATTACAACAGTTAGTGAAATTCACACAAGAGACAGAATTGCAGATATAGGCCTAATCTATTTCAAGTAGACAAAAGAAGAAGAAGAAGAACGGCCTTAAGAAATTGACGAACATTAAATGGGGATGATTTCAAGAAGGGCGTAGAAGTAAGAGAATGATGAATCAAGAATCGATATTAAAGCACTTGGGATACTCACATAAGCGCTCCCGTCCCCATCTTCAACAACAAGAGAAGAGTTCCATCCCTATTTTACCAGTGACTGAAATAAAAAAAAAAAGATGTCTGGACAGCCACAGGTGTTGGCAGTAGTAGTAATTTAAAAAAAAATTAAAAAATCCACCTTCGGTGTTATAATTAGAATATAAAGTATTCAGTGAGTTTTTAAAGACTATATGTAGGCCTATATATCGAATAAGGATGACTTTCAGACATTTATGCTAGTTGTGCCATTGTTAAATCAGATAATGTTTTGTTTACGACTTCTGGGCTGTGACTGCACGATTAGTGTTTAATCCTAATAACTCTTGTGGCGAGAAAGAGAGAATACTCAAAGAGCTATGCGAATTGTTTCATGACTTTTCGAGGGGATCATTGATAGTTAGACGATTCATTAAAAAAAAAAAAAAAATACTGGGAAGCGGCGGCAGAGATGTGGTTTTATAAATTAATGATGAGAACACACTAGGCAGATGAAGAAGAGTAACAAAGATGTCTTGAGGGAGGGGGTGGCTCACGAAGCAGGTTGATTGCCAACACAAGAAAGCGACAATCTACATTCTGTGGTCATGTCATGAAAAGGAGAAAACCAAATCGTAACGTTGGAAAAGTTGGAGAGGAGAAAAGAGGCAGAGGGAGACAACGAGAAGATGTTGGACATCTTGACGTATAAGATCGTCTGTGCCAGAAAGGACTGGAAGTACACGAGGCAGTTTATAACGGATAGACATGATCACCAACGCCACATAGCTGGTACTAGAAGAAGAGACGAGCAAGAAATTTCAGAGAAACCCAAAATCATCAAGAAAATATTAAAAGACACGGATGATAAAAGGTTAATCGTCATCTTGGAGAAAGCATCGTTAGAGACTGTAAAGGTTGGTCAGAAATACGAGCTCCTTTGCTGCGATAGACACAGTGGAGTAGGGAAGCGAATTAAAAAAGATATCTCAACACGTCGGCCAGACATTACTCACCAGTGCTTACTGATGCTGATGGATTCACCACTCAACAGAGCAGGACTTCTGCAGGTTTATGTTAGAACAGAGAAAAATGTGCTGATAGAGATCAACCCACAGACTCGAATTCCCCGGATATTTGACAGATTTTGTGGGCTTATGGTTCAGCTTTTGGATAAGTTGAGCATACGTGCCAGTGATGGTCCACAGAAATTGCTCAAGGTGATCAAAAACCCAGTGAGTGACCACCTGACCACAGGCTGTCCCAAGTTTGCCATGTCGTACAGTGCTGATAAAGTCATTGATGTCAGGGACGTCGTGCCCAGGCATGGGCCAGCTGTGTTTGTTATAGGAGCTATGGCGCATGGCAGTGTGAGCCCTGACTATACAGAGAGGTCCTTCTCCATCAGCAACTATCCTCTATCAGCAGCAATCACCTGTTCCAAGGTGTGTAGTGCTTTTGAGGAGGTCTGGGGTGTTAAATAAAATGGAAAATGTTTTGCTAAAAAAAAAAAAAAAGAAGAAGGTTAACATCGTGTCCTTAAATTAATAGATTTATGTCTGTTGACATCTCATTGATGTTAGGTGTTTAATAATTATCTTAAGAGATTGCCAAGGTATTTATTGTTATTATTTTTATTAAGAGCGCCACTGTAGTGTAGCGGCTAGATGCTCGCCTGCGGATCTGAAGAAATGGTCGACCTATAAAAGGGTCGTGACCCACAGGTTGAGAACCACTGCTCTATAATGTAGTGAAATAATTACTGTATATTTGTGTGTGTGCGCTGTCCCTTTTTTCCTCTGCTGTTGAAGGCTTATCCCCGCAAATTCCTTTATTTGTTCATTGTAACTGATTTTGGGAAGCTGTTATAAACTCGTTTTTTTTTCTTTCACTTTTTCTTCCCTTCCCTATAATTTCCAACCCATTTTCAATATCTCAGCGTACCTGGAAATTCCCTCCCCTCCCCCCAACAAGTGACTTCAGCTGCGTTAGCAGATGCCTGACAGCCTCTTCTGTTAGAATATCTGCAATTTCTCTGTTGTCGTCACTTACTTTTTCAACGCCACTTGCTGCTGCAAGGGTTGCTATGCTGGGTGTACTTGGATCAATATCGTTTGGACAGTTTCTTCGACGTCTTGTTGATTACACGGTTGTATTGAGTCAAGAATTGACATCACAGCACTCAGGGCATTCCCATGCATGCATTGTCCTCATCTTCAGCAGCCAAGGCAGAGTTCCAATACTGATGGTACCGGTCACAATCTGGTTAAAAGTCCCTCTTGCCTTTCCTCTGAGTGGAGTGAGCCGGCCAGACCCTCTGGTTACACCCAGGTGACTCATTCTCTCCAGGCCATAACAATCTTCTTTCTCTACTGATTCCGTTGCTTGTTCCCAAAGGGCCTTGACCATATCTGCCTTGTCATTTATCAATTCACCACCCAGTGGTGCGGATCCAGCCAATCTGTCTGCCTGTTCGTTACCCACCACGCCGGCATGGCCTGGAGAAAAGATCCAAAGTATGCTCACCACTCGTGACCTTTTCAGTAAAGCTAGCCACTCTGCTCGAAGCATCCCTGTCCTTACCTTTTTCAGGTTTACAGGTTGCCACCTGATTGGTGATTAGATAGGATTATCATCACAGCACTCCGGACAGATCCATAGGTGCTCCAATCTCCCCCTCAAAAGCTCCACAAGTGTAAAACGATTGGTGATGCCTGTTCTGTGTTGGTTAATGAAATGTCTTGCCTCTTAGTGAAATGTTCATTTCTTGCAGCTCCAGGCTGCACCTCCATGTCCATCAGTCTAGACAGGGATATGGAGTCATGTCCTTTGGCGTGCTCCTCGGTACGGTAAGTGCAGCGCATGGCATTGATAAAATCACTTCTGTCCAGTACTGGGCCAGCCATAGCAACTGCAGTGTCAGCAAGATAGTCTGCACGCTCGTTCCCTTGAACACCCGCATGACCTGGCACACTGATGCTCCAATGCAACAAGTGTGTCAACCACGCGCAACGCCACCAAGTTAACATTAGGCAGACTAAAACCCCCAACCCTCCAAAAGTCCCATACACATTGTTCAGCTAAAATTGGGGAAACGGTAGGGGGCATTAGACCTGCCTCCAACGGACACAAGTTCCCAGCAAGGTCACACCAAGTCGTCCTGCCCTCTGCTATTGATACAGCTCACACCATATCCTTCCTACCTTTTTAACTTCACTCTCTAAATCTCTTCTCCGTGTTTCTTCCTTTATTTCTGTGCCCTGTGGGTTCCAGTGCAAAAACATATGTTCTCATGTTTTCTAAATGTGTGTCCTATCCGACACCATCAATTTTTTTCCTTCTCAACTCTTGATTCAGTGGAATTGGTTAAGTTCTCTTCCAAAAGCTCAACATTAGTGATTCTATCATTTCATTAATTCCCTATATTCCACGCAGGTACCAGTTAACCAATGTTTGTAGTTTATTAGAAATTGTTTGAATTGTTCTTCGTGTTTCTGCTTCATACACCAATACTGATTTGACATTACAATTTGTAAGTTAAATATTAATTAAAATTTTCTCTAAATTTCACAAATTACCTAGTGTTATTAAAACTCCCTTTACCTTTTGTATTTTACTATTCCTGTCAGCTTCCCCACCAACATACAGGCGCATTAAACACACAAGGCAGCAGTCAAAGTGCCAACACAATCAGTCTGACACTAGAAATGAAGTTCATTGCGGACAAAAGCAGTAGTTACAACAGATCAGTAGTTGCACATGCAATTAATCGCATACGGCGCTACATGTTCTCTGGCAACTGGTCATTCTCCATTTTCTGAATCTGCAGCTCACAACATAGCTCACAGTGTCACGACATGCACTCAGCTCAGTTGTTAGGTGATGGAACTATACTTATGGAAGAAGCTAACTATTGTCTGAATATACAGTTCTCAACACAAACCACATTGAACACATGAAATCCACAGCTCAGAGTGTCACAACAAGCACTCAGCTGTGTAGCTGGGTGATGGGACTACTTTCCGTCCACGTACGGGAGAACATGTGATAGCTGGCCAGGGCCAGAGGCAAATAACATGCCATAACTTCAGCTAAAAGAGTAATACCTGTTAATTATAGAACTAAACTTTCACTACTGTCTGTATTGACCAATTTTAAGGGCGATGCAGACAGGGAGGTAGTGAGCCCAAGGATTTAGAGCCGCAGGCTGGTGCTGTCGCCAAGGACTGTGCAGGTTAGGATGTTTACTTTTGCCCCTGACAGAAAAACACCACCACCTCCTTACTGGGGGTTGAATTTAGGTCTCCTGCATGATAGCCCAACTTTGTAACCGTTCGGCCCAGGTGCTCCTCTGTTAACTGTTGCTATGCTGATACTAAAGAATTATCAGCTGCGTTGGGCTGGTCATCTAGCCTGCATGCAAGAATATCACCTCCCAAAGAGATTATTTTATAGCGAGATCCAGCAAGAGAAGAGGTCCCAGAGAGGACAGAAAAAAGCGCTTTAGGTAAACTACCCTACAAGGACACTCTCAAAACTGCTCTGATGTCTTTTGGCATCAACACAGCGACATGGGAGGCTGCAGCATGGATTGTTCTAGAAGGCGTACGTCCCTCAGGCTTGGTACATCAGCCTGCCAGGCAGCGGAGGTTGCACTGGCACAGAAACAAAAGGCAGACTAGAGCGAAACGGAGGCAGACTAGACAGAACCGTATCGCTAATCCAACACTTACTGCGGCTTCCACCTGTTGTCCGCACTGCTCAAGAACTTTCCTGGCTCATACTGAACTAATCAGTCAACTTCGTACTCATAATCATTGATCATTACTACTTTGGATGAAAGTGGTCTTCATCACTCATGATGGACGAACAACTACAACAACAACAACTGTAGCCATTCTTGTACACCAGAACTGGCACACACAACACGACCACATTCAATCTGTCTAATTAGTGAACACAAGAAACAAACTGCAGATCTAAATTTTCATCGAAGCCAGCATTTTTCTTTCTCAAACAAGTAAAAAGGTGAGATACCAACACAAGACCATAGCTTCACAAAGAAACAATCAAAAACCAAAGATTTGTGAACATGAGAAACCAAACACAAAACAATGGTGATGTAACAGTGTTACAGCTGGCACACAGAAATTAACATTCAGTTAACTGTGCTTGGCACACAGAAGTTAACATTCAGTTAACTGTGCTTGGCACACAGAAGTTAACATTCAGTTAACTGTGCTTGGCACACAGAAGTTAACATTCAGTTAACTGTGCTTGTTTTTTTTTAAAGTGCAAATATAATACGTTAACACAATTGTACAGAAAATATTGTTGAGCATAATATATATATATAACTGACTTCAGTGCAACAGAAGTGAATATGCCAACATGATAAATGCAGTGATCTGTTTCAGTCACAAGCAACTTCTGATCACTGGAGATCCTCACCAAAGATGTTCTTGACTGGTGGCTGGCTGTTCTGTGGAGAGGGACCAAGCAGTATGGTATCCCCTGGTGCAATGAAGTCAATCCTCTTGATGTCGGCTTGTGATGGGCATTTGCCCCTTCCTCAGTACAACAACCCTTGCGCGGCATGTTCTCTCACTAGCTGAAAGAATGAATCAATCAAGAGGTGACATCGCTGCACTCAGGACATTTCCAAACATGTTCAGTCTTCTTCCTCTGTACAACAACCCTTGCGCGGCATGTTCTCTCACTAGCTGAAGGAATGAATCAATCAAGAGGTGACATCACTGCACTCAGGACATTTCCAAACATGTTCAGTCTCCTTCCTCAGTAGCCAACATGCTAATAGTACCAATTACAACCTGATTAAAAGTCCATCCATGTTTTCCCCTTAGTGCTGAATATCTTCCATAACCTCTATTTACCCAAATGTATGGATTATACGTTTGTTTTAGTGCACTGTCCATTAGTTACATTTGGTCACAGCATACTGAAAAAATCCTTTTTGGGATTTCTTAGGATTTCTGATACGGGCAGACTAAAGTAATGTATGTCAGTAGCGTTCCAAATCTTGTCAGTACAAAGCCACACAGCCTGGACTTTAAGCAGAAGAAGAATTCCTAGTCTGCCACATACTGATTTGAAAAGTAAACGTCTGAAACAGGTTACATAATTTAAACTAACCTTCTTTTATTCTTAGTGCTTCACAAACAGATGTAAAGAGTCCGTGGTATAATTTGCAACAAACCTTTAACTTTAAAAATAAGTAAGACTATTAAAGTTTTTTTTTTAAACAAATTAGGAGTATGCCGGTCTTAGCTAATTAGCAACCACTAATCTGTGAAGTATATTTTCAGAGGACGGAAAAACAGATCAGGCTTCAGAAACAAGATTCCAAAGGGCCAGTACACTCACATACCAAATGACACCATTTATTAAGACATCCAAACTTAAGCATGCCCACCAAGGAACAGATTATAAACACCACATTCATGCCACTGTCCTACTAACAGAG